CGGCCGCGGCAGCCTCCGCCGCAGGAGCGAAGGGCTGCGAGCGGCCGCGAAGCCCGGAGCCGCCGGTCGTGCGGGGCCGGTACCTGCTGGCAGCGGTGCCGAGGCGGCCGAGGCTGCCGCCCGCGGGGCACCGGGCAGGGGCAGAGCCCTTCTCGCCCTCCGCCCGTCGCCGGTGCGGCTCCGTGAGCTGCGGCGCACTGCGGGTGGGAGCGGGCCCGGGCCCGCCAGTAGATGTTTTGAAAATCCCCAAGGAAACATGGTTTTTACACCTTTTTTTTTTCTTTTTTTTTTTTTTCAAATATACGCAATAAATTTTTGTCCTGATTTTTCTCAAATGATTGATCAAAACCTGAAAATGTCTTGAGCGAGGTTCAAGCTGTTAACGGATTGCGAGAGGCAATGGGAGTGACGCGCAGGTGGGGCTCTGGGCTTGGACCCCTAAATGACCTTTATATCCAAATGCTGTAATGCTTGAGAAGATATTAAAAATTCCGTCGGTGGGATTTTCAGGGAGGTGGTGGGTACATACTGAGCAGCTGGGCCTGTTTCAAACCTTTGGAAATCAAGTACGCCAAGGAGGAAAGCAAATGTCAAAGACAGAATATGTTCAGACACTGATTTGGCTTCAGTTTTGATCCCACATCGACACTTTCTCTGACTAAGCCAGGCTTAGTAACCTGAAAGCAATAAGGAAATGAGGCGGGAGCATATGGAGAGGAGGGAGCATTATGTCACTAATGCAAGCATCACATTTCAAGGTGGATTGACAATAGTTGCTGATGATAAACTGTTCCTGAATTTGTGTATGGTGTGTTTGTTTTGTGGTTTTGTTTGTTTTGGATTTGGGGCTTTTTGTTTGTATGGGCGGTTTTATTGTTTGGGTTGGTTTTGGGTTTTTGGTTTTGGTTGGTTGGTTGGTTGTTGTTTTTTTTTTCCTCCTGGTGTATTCAAGTCACCCTGTGTCAAGCCAAAAGGCCCCAGACTCTGACTGGACGGTTCAGCCAACAGCTTGGTGGTAAACTTGTTTCTTCCAGTTTACTAATTTCTCCCTGTCTTAGAATTAACCTTGCTTCCTTCTAGTGTGTTTGCAAAAGAAAAGAGGTGGGCAGAATCATCTGTTCTCTTGGTATTTCATTGCTAATCAGAACTATTTCTGCTGGCCAGTTTTATTCCACTGATTAACCTGATGCTTCTTAACTAGGCAAGACCTCAGCATGCTACTCTGTTTGCATTGAATGGCCTTTTTTGTTTGGTATACCTGTTGGGTTTTTAGCTGTCCCCATCTCTTCCTAACTTTCAGTTTTAACTGTTCCCTAAGTGTTGTTTCTTCTGTTTACTTTTTTTCCATATTTTCTGTGCAGTATTCTACCTGCTTCCAATACTAAACAGTAGTCTGCTGTTTAACTGTAAACGTTAGGTTAAGAAAGCTTGTCTTACCTGGGGACATGAGTAGTACCATACAAATTCTGGTACAAAAGGGATAAAAATAAGCAGGTGCTCTCATTATGCATGACTTTTCTGCATGATCTGCAGCAGTCATCCAACTGCTGACTTCTAACTGGGTCTTTAGGTCATCCCAATAACACCTACTTAGCTTTACTTCTCTTCATCTTGCTCTCACTCGACTTTCGCTGTCTTTTGCTGGAACACCATAGACTTCTCATTGCAGTATTGTCCTTTCTTGGAAGGTATATAGTTCAGTATTCCTGCTGTGACATAGTCCTAAAGATGCAGTCCTGACCTGTAGCTTTTCCCCCATCAAATTATGAGCAAGTATCTATTATTACTTCTAAACTATTTTTATTTATGAACAGGAAGACTACATCTTTAACTGACTGATCTGCAAAGGACTTGAGTTTGCTTCTAATTCTTGAAGAACCAGATTCTCCTTGTTAGGCAAATAATAATCAGAAGACTGAATATATGTAATTTTTTAAAAACTGCACTGTGGTGCAAACAACAACAAAAATGCCCTAAGGAGCCAACTCAAGCAAAAATAAACATGTTCAGAACCTTACTGAAATCCCTTCTTTAAAAACCAACCGACCAACCAAAACAACAACAAAAAAACCTCAATAATAAGCAAAAAACCCCATCAAACTTCAAGGTATTTGGAAAGATGAGATCAACGTTTTGAAGATTGCCTGCACAGAACAACCTAGGTAGCATCCATTGCTGTATAGCCTGATCACCTTTTGCACCAATAATAAAAAAAGCCAGTACAATATTTTTGATCCTTTGTTTTTGTCTGACTTCCCTACTTTCACTAGGGGTGGGGGTGTTTCATTTTTCAGCGAAATCGTCTTATTTAAGTGAGGCATAGTTTATACACAGCTGGCAAAAACATACAATGATCAGACATTATTTTCACAGATGACATTCCTTAATATCTTCAGTCCCACAACATGGAGGGTATAATAAGGGAGATGGCTCCACATCATCGCTCTAAGTGCTCGCAGCAGACAGATTGCAGATTTGTTGCTTGACAGTAATCATTGAAAATGCAGAATAATAAAGTAAATTACTTTCTTTGGCTTATTTTCTTCGTCTGAGCATATGCTGTGTGTTTATTTTGAATGTTTAACTGTTTATGCAGTTTAATTGCAGTAAAGCTGTTATGAGTAATCTTGTGTTTCCCTGAAGCTATAGATGACTTCTGAGTGACTCTTACAAGTACATACTATATCACTAGTAGTAGCAGAAGCCAGTTCTACTGGTGAGTGTCATTTTTTGCTGCAGAACAATGAATTCTCCATCTCCTACAGTGATTTGAACATTTGGTAATTTTTTGTACTGATGGATTTTTTGGTAACTTATGTTCACTTCATTGCTCATCTGGATATTATATCCTGCTAAAGTTAAGTTGTTGCATCCTGAACACTCCTGAGCTGTGACAGGAGTTTGCTGTTGGCCATTTCTTTTTCCTCTGCTAAATCAGCAGGACAGACACATAGTTTATTTTCATAAGAAGCTTAATTTGGTGAGTAATATACTGATTCAGTCTTGTGTCGAGAAGACTCATCGTTTTTGATATCTGTTATGAAAACGACAATTTATTTGAAAATTGAGCCAGTATTTATGGAACAGCACTGCTTTAATTTGGTTCTAGAAGAACTATGCAAGGATTAAAACGGGACTTGTAGGCATAGATCGAAGTTTTCAATAAAAATATTTCAGCCAAAGGTTGAGGTTTGGGGTTTTGTTTTGTTGGGGGGGTGGCGGGGGTTTTTTTGGGGGTGTGTGTGCAGAAACAGAATGGTATCTCTGATGAGATGATAGGGTCTCTTGATTCCTTGCCATGTAGTTCTGATGAGGTTTAGGCAGTACAAAAAGTGTTTTGTGTTGGTTCCAGAAGCACTACTCTATATTCAGGTTTGGTTTCCCGTAGTGTTGGTGCTGCCCATTTTATGAATTTAAGCAAGTGTAAAATAGAAACATTAATGGAGTAGATCACTTTTATATAGGCATTATTATCACATTGCTTAGTTATAATTGTACTAGCAGCTGTACACGCATGAGATAGCTTTTACTATGGAGTCAGTAAATCAGTCTTCCCCTTTGCAGCAGCTGTCATTATATTTTAAAAATAATTAAAAAATGTCATTTTCAAAGAGTAAACGTCACCCTTGGACTGATGCTTGGTTGCTTTCTAACATCTGTAGAGCTGATTTTCATTTGTAGAAGGCTCAGATTTTGAGCTTGGAGAATGTGGACGCACATTTTCAAAACTAAGTAGAGATTTTTATACTGAGAAACTCGCAGGTTTTCTGACTGGCCGAATGTACATCATTATGAAATAAATATTCAAAATACAATGAAGAGTCAATTTCTTAATTTCTGTGAGTAAATAATACAAATTTCTTTCAGGCTGGACCATTAACCAAAGTGACGATTTGTAAGGACAAAGAAGGAAAACCTAAGTCTTTTGGGTTTGTCTGCTTTAAGCACAAAGAATCAGTGCCTTATGCAATAGCTTTGCTGAATGGAATCCGTTTGTATGGAAGACCAATTAAAGTACAGTATCGGTTTGGTACGTTTAGTAGTCTAAATGAATAACCCTTTTAATTTTTTTTTTAATTATTTTTGAATCCTCCAGTCTTTTACAAAGATGATGATTTATAGTTAAATTACTGTCCCTTATTTCTAAAAAAAAAACTTCTCGTGGCTTTTGCATAGGGAAGGATTCTGTCTTTGTATTTTTTGTTTACTAAAAGAATACAATAGGTTGGTTCAGAACAGCATAACTTGCAAGCCAGCTCAGACCATACTGTATGGAAAACATAGCAGCAGAGGTTTTCACACCAGATTACATTTAGGAATCAGAGTGTGACTTTAACTTACAGTCTGGCAGGAAAAGTAATTGCAGCAACTGTCAAGCTCTTTGATAGTTTTTGTACTAAAGCTTTGCTTTTAAGTGGAAGCGATTGTAGTTCAAAGAATATAGTCAAATCAGAGTTACATTCTTCATTTTATGTTTATGAAAATAAACCTAGAAAGCTAATGATCAGGTGGCATTTGCAAACCCAACATTAAGGACTCACATTCCCACCATGGACTGTGCTGGTCTATCCTTCAAAGGCTGTACAGAGCAGTTGCTGGGTTTAAGTAGAATGGCTGAGGTTCCTAAAATGGGAAGCAACGCCCGTGTCTGTAACTGGATGGAAATTATTCTGTTCTTGATTACTTCAACTGCCCTGATTTATGCTTCCATAAGTGAATAAATGATACATGAACTTTTTCAAGCAGTAAAATAATGCTATAGATTATCTGCCATAAAATGGCACTTTACCTTTATATACTAGCTTAGATATGCTAGTACACTACAGGTGATGCAGAACACTTTCTGTATTTTTAACTTGTTAATTGAGTAGTCCTAACTGAATAGTTCGTTATGCTTTTGTCTTATTTACAGGAAGTTCTCACTCATCAGAACTAAACAGCCCTACACATGGTTTTGAGAACTATATTGACTTATATTCACCTTCATATAGGTAAAAAAGATCACCTGTGAATGAACTGTATGATTATAATTTAAAAAAAAATCTTATTAAGAAAATTAGTTGATGTGGTAGAGGAATCTCTAGGCTTTATTTTTTTTTTTGTTTGGGATTTTTTGTTTGTTTTATGGTTGTTTTTTTTTAAACAGCTGTTGCATGCTTTAATTGCATCCTTACTGATGACTTGCAGTGGGCTCTAGTTAATGTTAATGTTTGGCTGTTTAGCTTGCCAGAGGTTCAGTTAGCTTGAGTTTTCCTTTTTTTAATTTATTTCTTTGTTTCTGCAAGATACAGGACCACGAGAAAATATTGAAATCTGGTGTTTATGCTAGCAATGTTTGCAGTTGTTAGGGGGAAAAAAAAATCTGACAACGCAGATAATATTTTTAAACCCCACTGGATTTATATCTGTATTTTTTGTGTGTATATATACAAGCAGCTGTCACGCACAGGTATAAGCCTGTTCAAATGGAAGTCTGAATAGCCCAGATCCAGTATTTTTCGGTGCTTCAATACTTTTATTTACAAATGTGACAGAACTTTCTGTGGAAGCTAAACTCCCACAGTGAAATCCAGAACTCTTGCATCTGTACTTAAGTACATGTGAGCATGACTCATTAATTGAGCCTTTAATTCATTAATTGAATGCATTTTCCTTGTTTTATCAGTTTTTTCATGGAAGCCCGGTTGTAATATGTCAATTCTCCTCTTGGATATACTCATTATAGCCCAAGAGTTAAGTCTCAGCACTCTGGTAAGCATTACTTGGTAGATGTCTAGTCTTTGTACGTTTGCTTGTTTTTCCTAGGTATCAAGAGCCTTATGGAAATCCTCCATGTCCTGTTACTCCCTTTCCAATGAACAATAGTTTACCTCATGAATACTCAGGCTTTCAAAAGATGGTGAGTTTATGTTAAAAATTAAAAATTTGGGAGCTTTTTTATGAAGTTGAAGGTATTCTGTCTTTCTGCAAACAATGCTTGTTTAATGTCTCAAAATGTGATCTAGGCTAATAACTTTGACTGTAATAAATCTGTTTATCTTGGCGCTTAAGGGTACTGTAATAACAGGGGATCTACCAACTAAACTGTTTTCTTACTGCAGGCATGTCTTAAAGGTATATAGCTTAGGGAGGCTAGAAATGTCAGTGTGCAGATGGAGTTCTTTCTTGTGCTATGTTCCAAATTAAATCCCCTTGGTGAGACAACCTAACCTAGTAATATTACAACCCTGTAGCTTCTTCACATACAGCTAATTAAGTCAGGGAACCTCTTAGCTCTTCTACTTAACTCAGAAATGCTCAGCAGAAGTTTGCAATGTCCTAAAACCAAACCTAAAACTCCTCCAACAAATCACCACTGCCCAAGTTAGGGCAACAACAGTTTGAGGGTTTCTGGCCTAAAGCTTTACATACTCCTGCAGTTCTCACATTCATGATTGACTTCACAGCAGTAGACAGTGAAAATCTGTATTCTGCTTCCCCTCTAACAGACTCTGACGCCCAGGGCCATTCTTGTCCTAATCTCTTTTGTTTGAAATATTCCACAAGGCAAGGGAACTGATCTCTTCAGATGGCAACCTGTGGGCCAAGCCCTAGTCACCAAACACACCATGGATCTTCTGAATCTGATGAGTGTGGGCTCATCAGTAGGACTGAAGAAACCCAGCGTTTAATGGGAGGTTACCAACTGTGGACAGTACTGCTGCCACCCAGCCTGACTGGGGAATGGCCCGCAGTTTGAGCAGGAGAATGGAGAGGGTCTATTCCCCGTTGCACAGATGTGGTGGTAGCCTGCCTCCCCTCTTCCCAGGCTGTGACCTCAAAAAAAGCTGGTGCTTACACAAACTTTTCCATCCCCTCCACTGTGGTTGGAAGACTAGGAACGTACCATCTCCCCCGCTGTGCTCACCGATGAACCCACTCAGTAACAATGCAGTACCTAAACACCGAGAGACAAAACTCAGCAGACCAGCACACATGACCAACTTCATCCTATTTTCTGCTTGCTGGAAGGGATAACTGCAGTGTGTCTCCAATGACAACTTGTTGCAGCTTCAGCTGGAAGCGATCTAGTCACGTGTACACCTTCACACATCGGCATCACCTTTATTTGGGTGAGCCAGGCAGGTTCCTCACTTAGGGTCTGTCTGCACACATAACATACTCAGACATGCTCCCCATCATTTTTCTGGTTGCTGCCAGTCAGTAAAGAGACACTCTTTTCTGAGCTTTGTAATTCTATTTCTGTACTTGGGCTGTGCCTTTTGTCTGAGGGACTCTTGGGGTACTTCAGTGAGTGCAGAAATAAGCTGGGCACTTACTGCGTTGTTCCAAGTGCTTTGATCTGTGGATTCCCTCTGCCTTGCTAGAATGCCTTGTTCCACATTAACTTAAAATCGACTAAAGGAGGTTAAAAAAAAAAATGCAGACATGCATGCCTTTACATTAACAATAGACATTATTACAGTTACAAATGTTTATGAAATAGATAGAAGAAATGAAAGGAATGCCATGTTTTATTACCTTACGCAAAGACTAACTGGCAGTTTAATCTTAAATCAGATTACATCTCTGTTCTGACTTTGCCATGAAAGATTGTCTCCTTTTTCCAGCTATACTAGTTAATATAATAAAATACATAAACTTTATTCCCAAATGTTCTGTGTTATTTTATAATTTATCAGTATTTTCATTGTAGAAGCTATAATGCATGCAAAACTAAACTCTTCAGAACTTCCTCTTTACAGTGTTAACAACTCATTTCTGTTTCTCTAGATGAACCATTTTTTAGCGCAGCCGTACACAATACAGTGTCCAATGGGACAACAATTTCCTTACTATCAGATGACTCCACCACTGCCTTCAAATTTTAAGTCTGCACAGGGTTCTTTTGGATTGGCCCTCCCACATTCAAGTGACCGTGAAGAGCACCAGGTGGATGAAAGGACCTCTAAAAGAAAGAGAGAACAGCAGAGTTGTGACAGTGACACTAGTGTTGAGGATGACAAAATGAGGCAAAGAGAGTGTCACCAAAAATACAAGAAGTGCAAAGCCAAGAAAAAGATACATTGATACTGTGTAACTGGATTAATCTTTTTTTTTTTAATTATATTTGCTATTTTTATTTGAGAGAAATTCAATCTTTCATCTTTGCACTTTACTAAAAAAGGAATGTTCCAAGATTCATATTATTTTTGAAACGTGTTATGCATAATGTATACTGATAGTATATTTAATGTCAACCTATTTAAAGAGGACAGTACTATTTAAGGTGTAGGAAACATTTAAGAAGATTTGTTAATAAAGGAAAAAAAAAATTAGTTGTTTGCTCCCACCTCCTTCCAGGAATCATAGAAGGCTATTATTTCACTAATATGGTAACTTTATGAAAAGGCATAATTTCAGCCACTCATGAAGCTTACGTATCACTTCCATTGCTTATGGAATGTATTTTTGTGAATAGTGTAAGAATTTTCTGGAGCCACTGAAGAAGTGAGCAGTCTGGAGATTCTTAGTGTCACGTCAGAGATGTGCTCCTCACTGAAGTATCAACTCCTGTAACTTTTTTCCAACTTAGCTCTCTTGTTACTTTTGGTCAGAATCACATTGTATGGTTATTGGAACTGCTCTTTTCCAGTAGGAAGTTTGAGGTGGACTATGGGCATTTGCACTAACTCCAAGACTTACATATGTATCGGTACTCAAATGTATGTACTTTATGGCTGCAGTGTGTATTGGCTAGAACTACATGCATCTTTATATAAAGTTACTGTCTGGTGTTTTATTTGCTTATTTGAGAATCTAAATCTTCATTGTAACAACTGGATGAAAAATTTAATGAGGATCTATCTCATCTAATCGATAACACAAAAGCATGAGTCAGTGGAGTTAGTACTACCTCTTAAGAAGGAAGAGTTTTTCACTTGTGTAGCAGAGGAAGAATAAGCTATATCTCATATTGTGATTAAAGGAGTCAAATGACCTGTTTATTGTCTTTCACAACTGCTGCCAACAACCTATAGACAGATACAGGGGTATTGTTTTACGGAGTACAGGTGAAACACTTCTAAGATCCTATTACATGAGAAAGCAAAACACTTAATTTTCATCTATTTAATATTGCTTACAGTTAAGCCTTCTGTTCAGACTAGGTGTAGGCTTCAAATTGAACCTGACAATAAAAAAGGGTTTTGGCTTTATTAAACTCAGTTTTCTTGGTTATAACATTTGATTGCTTGAAAGGAAGACCTTTCATCCTTATACTGGTATTGAGAAAGACTATCCAGGTTTACTGGTTTAAAGGTGATGTGTTTTATAAGCCCAAATAAGTTTCAGAAACGGAAGAATGTTTAACTTGGAACAATTTCTCTTTTTTCTGATAAGATAAATCACAGCTAATAAAATCACTTTGTCAACACTGTTTTTAACTTTCCAAATGGATTTCTCCTTGAGCCTGAGACATTCCTGTAATGCCACAGTATGGCACCCTTGAAATGACATTAGCAACTGAATTCAACCTTCTCTAGAAAGAATTTATGTAACAAAGGTTTGTGCCTTAAATACAATTTATGCCTTATGTTTTAAGAGATTTGCTAAGTCTTCCCAATCCCTTTTCCTTTCCCCCTCTACCTTTTCACACAAACACTTACCTCTTTATCTTTTTTTTTTTTGTTTTGTTTTTTTTCCCCCAACCAGTAACTTTAGGACTAAGCTATGTAAATGTAATCTGACTTCTGTTGGAAGATTATACCAGTAAGTCACTGACCACAAAAGTTGCCACAATAATGGAAAAAATTAACAAGTAAAATACACTGGATTTCTTTCAACCCATTCTTTATGTTAAAGAACTTTAAATATAATTGAGTAGAGGAAGAATATGTTAACATCAGCTTAAGTTAGAAGTGAAGTGCATCAGACAAAAGAGAAACAGATGGATGCTCAAACCAGAGTTAGCCCAGAGAAAGAGAAGCTTAGTCAGGTGTGTACTAATGTGTCCCTACCCAACTTCCCCAGTGGATAGATAAGATAATCTGTTCTATGAAATTATCCTTTACAAAAGGAATGTCAAGGAGGATCATATTGCATATGGCTGGTAAAATACCAGTACAGTTCTTATACAGAAATATTTTTTCTTACCCTCTTTCTTCCCAGTCTTTTTTTTTTTTCCTGAAGGAGGTACAAATTTCAACACCTCTCAATATCTGCTTACCTAAAACTCATCAGTGGGTTAAAAGAAGAAAAGCTGCACATGTGAGGATGTACTAAAGTTACTGTAGCCATATCTAAATTTCTTGGCAATTAAGTTATCACTTAAGGGCCCCGTTGATATTTTAATTGCATTGTCTCCATGTATAGCTAATAAAATACTCAAAAATAAACCTGCTTGAGTTTGGCCTTGACCAGTATTTCTTCAACCCCCTATCTGTTCTAGTAACTTTTAAAAATTCTTCATGAATATGAAATGAATGTTTTCTATGTTAGTTCTCATTCTAAATTATTGTTATTTTGTCCTGGTTTTTCACTTCCCATGCTACTAGCTGGCCACAAGATTTTGCTTTCCCTGCTGTGACATAAGTCTTGCATTTAGACTTGTTTTTCTGTATTTTATCATATGGAATGCAGTGCATAAATATTTCTGTTACAATCTCTCAAACTTTGGACAAATTAGGATCACTGCAGTCAGTGATATGTTCTCATTTAGGTTGGCAATATGCCAGGTCAACAAGAATCAAAGGGGTGGTGCCATATTAATTATAGAGTAAGATCAAAGTACAGATTTTTATTAACTTCTGGGAAAACTTTATGTTCAGGAAAAGAGAAAAGTGAAACTAGAAGGTATTGAGAAATAAGAAAGGTCAAAACTAACTTATTTGGTATGTGATCTGCCAGAGTTTTCAGTGCTGCAGCAGCCTGGTTCCAGAGGTAAGCCGGTATTTCACCTCTCCATCCCAGGTGGAGCAAGTAGTTCAGTCAACAGCAAGCACGTGCTTTCTATGTTTTATCTGAAAGTGTTTCAAATTGGATCTGTTCACCAGCAAACAGCACTGCAGTGCCCTGCTGTAGGTGAGAGGCACAGCGAGTGTCACGAAGCAGCCCAGTATGGAAGTACTGTTTTTGTTTGTCATTTTGTGATGCATTAAACTTCTAGCAGCACACATGCAGCTGAGAGCTAGTAAAAAAAAAAAAAAAAGTCTTTTTATATGTTTAGTCACACGATATAACGCGCACACACCATCGATGTCAAAAGAATATGGTTAAAAACTTACATAAGTGCTTTCTATAAAATTGTAATAGAACTTTGATTGAGCTTCAGCTGAACCTCTGAAATTAAAACTTAATTGGGTCTTTTGCACCTGGACTAGATATAGAAACAATTAAACTTAATTGTGTCCTTGCACATCCACCAGGAATAGAGGTAGAAACAATTAACCAAAACTTAAATGAAAGAAATTGAATTTTGGAAGGATTACCATACCGAAAGCTTACTGAAGATGAGCAAGGCCCAGGGAGGGAGCACACTCCCAGTCTCTGATTTCCATACAGGATGACAAGACGTATAGTCTTTGGAATGAAGTCCAGATAAGAGTGTGTCTGAGAGGAGCCTTAGGAGACTATAATAGTAAAACGCACACCCTCTTGTAAATAATGAGCATGCTAATTAAAGGGATCTCCCAATATGTTTAACACATTGAATGCCTATGTGTGATGAGGGATGGTAAAGGAACGATACAGCTCACCGATCAGCTGTATCTTCTCACCACAGCGATTGGGCTGTCAGGGGTGCTGGCTGCTGCTCAGCGCCTGCCAATTCTGCAGAATTGAAATAAAGATCTCAGCACAGTGTGCTGGTTGGTTTTTGTCTGTTTGTTTGTTTGTTTGTTTTTGCACGGGGGGTGAAGAACCCTTTTTTAGAGACACCACCGCAGGCCCTTCCCTCCTCTCCTGCCGGCTGGTACAGGACACATGGGGCCTGTCATTGCAGGACACCGAGCAGAGCAGGAGGACGAGCTGACTGCACCCTCAGCAGCTGCTGCTGGCTTTTTGGGGCACAAAGTCCCATTTCACCGCGCTGCTGGGCCACCAGACCGGCCTCGCTGGCTCCGGGCTGTGGGCAAGGCTGAGGGGGAGGCGCCGCCGCCCTCCCCGCACCTCCGGGCGGCCGCCTCCCGCCGCCGCCTGCCCGGGTAGGCCCTCGGGAGCCATGGCCGCCTGGGGCGGGAAGGAGAACACCTTCTACCAGCGCCTGAGCCCCACCGGCAACAAGGTGAGGGGGGGAGCGGGGAGGACGGGGCTGAGGGCAGGGTGACTCCCTGCCGGGGCTTGCCTGCCGGTGGGTACCGGGGGTGCCCTCCGAGCGGTGGCCCTGGCAGGTACCGGCTCCCTCGCACGGCAGCGGTGGGTGGCTGCTTCAAACCCGCTGGGGCTTCGTGTGGGATTTGTGCTGGGTCCTGCCTGGAACAGAAATGCGGCTGATGACAACTGGTACTCCGCGGGGTGTATCCTTTGCATTTCTGAGCCGGCAGGGATCTTTATGCCGGGGTTTCCTTCGATATTCCGTGTCATTCCTAAGGAAACTGGAGCTGGGCCATGGATTTGAGCAGGGAGCGTTCGTGCCCAAGAGTTCTGCTGTGTTCTTCGGTAGTTAAGGAGCCACAGTTCAAACAGACCACGCTGTTTGGATGTAAAATTCCGAAATCGTAATGGACCGTGGCAAACGTTTACATTTACATCCGACGGTGAGGGGTGAAGAGACGGGCGAGCAGATGTGCTCGTCACACAAGTTTGTTACATACATATTTGTTGCGTATTTGTTTCTTGGATTATCGTCTAATCGTTTGAATTTTCACTGAAAGTACAAGAAGAATTGTGGAAAATGTACAGGATGTGAGAGCACCCGCACACATACATTGTTGATAGGTGGGGTTTTCACACCACCTACTGAAAAGAACTGTAACTACATCTTTGGTTAGAAGCTCTTTTAAGGCAGTAATTACTGAGGGGCAGAATTTCCTGCCTAGGTGTGCTAAAGTCATTCTTGGGTGTGGATAAACATTCCTTAAGGAGTGTGGGAGAGTTCATATTTATTTACCTTTATTACACTTATCTTCAATGACTTATGAAATTGGCAGGAGTGCACAAGCCTCATATGCTTCTCCTTATTTATGTGCACTGTGCATGTTAGTAACACTTCATCTCTTACAGTCTGGAAGGAGTTTCCTGTTCTTTAGGTAATAGCAGTTGATAGCTTCCAAGAGCTAGGTTTTCAAATGGGGGAAAAAAAAATCCACAGGATTTTAACTGTCTAAGATTTAAGGAAGGTTTGCTTGTATTGGATGTATTGGATCATAGAATACTTCAAGTTGGAAGGGATACACAAAGATCATAGAGTCCAACTCCCATGCTTTGCTGTTGGTGTGATCATACTCTAGGGTATGTGTAAACATTGTAAAATCAAGCTAAGGTGGTCGTTAATATCCTCTTACAGCACGTTAAGTTGTTCTAGTAAATCACGAGACTGTACATCTTTTTCATTCTTCATAACTTGTGTTAGAGTGTGTTGGTGGGAGAAGGTCACAGGCAAAGAAGTCTAAGTATAGACATTATAGCTCAGAATTAAATAGCTCCTAATAATGGCATTTTAGTAAAAGAAAAAAACAAACAAACCCAACTCTTTCTTCAGTCTTTCAAGTAACATTGATACTTTTTCCTTTTTTCTTTTTAAACAGAAATGCAGCCCTGAAGAGAATGTTTTTTTCTTCAGTAAAGTAACGTATTCCTGGTTTAGCAGGTGACAATTTAATAAACTGCTTGTTGATGCTCATTGACGCTCACAGAATTATTGAGCACACGCTTACCTTCCATGCCATCGTTTGCTTGACCCAGAGCCTGAGCCTTGAGATTGCTTTTAGCTGTTTGTACAAAAATCAAAGTTTACAAGTTTTAGAGATTACATTCAAATATTTTGTTTATATATAGTAACAGTCATTTTATGCATTATCTAATGGCATTATTTAAAATATTTTTTGATAACTAAGCACAATGTTCTTGTCACAATAGACAATATATTTACATAATAGACTAAATGAGGCTATCCTTTTTTATTTATTATCTGTCTGTGTGAAGTTTGGCAGTAGACAAAAAGTAAAATAAGGTTTCCATTATATTTCATGTAGTGATACAGCAATTTACTGGTTCTCCAGGAACAAATATTCAATAGTACATTTAAGGTATTTTCCAAGTAGCCAATTTCATGCTCGTTTTCCTCCCTCTTTTATGACATGCTGTATGTTATTACTGTAGATCACCTGCTCATAAACACCAGCTTGTTGGGAAATTTTCCACTCAAGAATAGGAACTGAAAGCTCAACTATATCAAGTCATGCAGCTTCCTGTCACTTAATATTTTGGATGTTATTTCAAAAAATTTCATGTGACCATTACTCATTTTTAACATTTTTTTTTCTTCTTTAAAAATAATTTGTCAGACATGTACACCTCAAAAATCTACAAGTGAGAAAAATATTTTAAGAGTATTGTAACTGTTTCTTGCTTTATTCAATATTATTAATTTTAAGGAAAAAATGAAAATGATATTTGCTATTAATAACCTAAGACAAAATAATCAGGTTGGTTCAAGGATTTAGAGTATTCAGTTATATTCTGGCCCTGTTGAAGTTAGGAGTTCACCTTCAGGTTTGGTGTAGTTGTGGTTTTTACCAGTCCTTACATTCTACACAATAAATACAAATTTGCAGGTTTTTTTCTAGGAAGTTATGCAGTATACTGAGTGCAGCACTTCTATATAACATTTATTTGTTCATTATGTCGCAATGTTTACCCAAATGTTCAAGCTAGGCTGTCCTTTGTATTTTTAACCAATTCACAATGTTTAACAAAAGAAGAGGGGGGAAGAAAAGGATTTCAGTTCTACTCAATGAGAGCTTGTTTAGCTATGAAAAAATTATGTGGATGCAATTAAACTAAATATTCTGAACATTAGATATATTCCATCTTTCCATTCACAAGTAAACACAATAAATTATGTCTAATATATACTTGCCTGAAGTGCTTGCAATCTAAATGAGGAAGTCTTACATTAATTGTTATATAATAAACCCGTAATGCTATATTATGTTTCTTTAGAATTCAGGCAATCTGGAGGTTAGAGTGTGAAAGGCATTTGGTAAATCTATTTATTCTCTGGCAGCAGCGAGTTTTAGCACCGAGATAAGTTATACAGAATTCTTAAACATTGGTTTCCAGTCAAGTACCAATTGGTCTGCTTTCCTCATCTCTCTTAAAAGCTGGCGCTCTCAGTGAGAAGCTGTCTTATTTTTTGCCTTAACTTATCAAGTGTAAGGCAAATTAACTTTGTACTAATGTTACAGCTTCAGTAAATGTTTGGGTGGCCCTTGGGGATAGCGAGGTCCAAGTTAGAGAACTTTGTCAACATTAATGCCTTTGCATTTTCCCTCCCTCAGAAATGGTATGGCACAGTTTGCTTCAAAAAAATGTTATAATATTGTGATAAATCAGACACACTCATCAAAAATTCCAAATCTTCTATAGTTCTTTCAGAGTTCCTGTAGGTTCAGTGTATTCACCAGCCCTATTTTGCCATTTTGAGACCAAGTTTAGTTTTCGTTGACACTCAAGTGGGCAAAAAGCACTTTGTTAAAACAAAACCTTAACAGCTGAAGATCTATTGTAAGGAAACTTCTATTGTACTTGTTCTGAAACCCAGTAGTTTAAGGTTGTTACATTGGTTAGAGATGAGTTGCAACATAATGCAGCCATGTGATATAAAAGGTATTTCATTCCAGATCACAAGAATAAGTGGGTAATGATGCTACACACACATTTATTTTTTTTATGAAAAAAAATTTTCTTCTCCTATAAAGAAGAACGGGATCAGAAATATAGACAGATTCTGAGGTGCAATGGTTCCTCAGAATTTGCTGTTCAGATGTGACCATCTGCTTGGGCAGCTCTTCAGTGAATTTCAGTGTATCTAAGGTTACTTAAGTATGTTCCACTATTTAGTCTATAGTCTTTACAGTAGTTCTGCCTTTTTTTGTCTGCTGTATTTCATGCTGTCTAAATTAATTGCTTCCTTTCAGACTAATATCTATAGGCTATAAGAAGCCATTGGAGAGGGATGACCTGTTTGAGCTGAATGAAAGTGATTCACCATACAGTGTGTGTCCT